CAGTGCCCTCCTGGGGTGGGAGCAGATGTGGAGGGCTCCCTTTGCTGGTGGGCAGTCGGGGAGGAGCTGCAGGGGAGCTGGGATTAAAAGAGATTAATTTGGATAATAATAAAGCGGTGAGCGGTTAAACTGGGGAGGAACTGGAACCACGGCTGCTGCCGGAACGGCTCAGCCCGGCTTTTGCCCCAATTCTTTTATGGCAATGTGGGATTAATGAACATCTTGGGTACTTTCTGCCCACGAAAAGCCAAACGGGGGTGGTAAGAGCCCCCCATGAGTGTCACAGGCACCCCCAGGTCCAGTGGCTGCGGGGAAGGGACCCCCCAGGGCTCTTTACCCCCCTGTCCCTCGGCTGCTGCACAGCTCCAGGGATGCATGGAGCCTGAACGCAGGAGCAGAGGGGGTCTCGTGAGTGCTCCCCAGATCTCCTGCCATCCCACGGGACAACCTCACGGCACTGATCTGCTCCTGGGGACTCATTTGCTTCCAACCGCGCTGCTCCCATGGGGTAACGAGGCCCTAAAATGAGGGCACCTCACGGCCAGCGACACGATTTTGGGGGAAACGCGACTTTCCAGCTGCAGAAGGAGGGGAAGTGTGGGATTCCCCAGCGAGAGCGGACTGAGCCGATGTTTTCTGGGTAAGAAAAACTGCAAGTTTCGCCTCTGTCTGGAGGTTTCCTCAGGACAGCCCCTTGCTGCCCACCGGCATTCACTTCTCCAAACCGTGCCCCAGATCCCTCCCCGCGCCCAGGGCAGGTTTCATTTCCCCCATCCCCACCTCAGCTCCAAAGCCGAACTCACCCAGACGATGATGGAGAAGAAGGAGAAGGTGATGGCGGCCCGGGCGGCGTCCGCTCCTTGGGAAACCGCTTTGTTCATCGTCGTCCGCTGCCACTGGTTTGCAAGGAAGCAGAAGGCTACAAACCACAGGAAGGACAGGAAACCTGGAAGAGAGCAGAGGTGCTCAGTGCTGACCCTGCCCACCGCCTCCTCTGCTGTTGCACAAACACGCTGCCACCAAGATCTTCAAATAGCAACCGTGATCTCGGGTGCCTGGGCCCAAACAGAGCTATTTTAGAAGAGGCTGATAGCCAGCATAGAGTTATTTTTCTTCACAGCAGCTAATGAGGCTTTGGTTTGGATCTACTGAGAACGGTGTGATAACACACCCATGTTTTGGTTGTTGCCAAGCGATGTTTACATCAAGTCAAGGTTCTTTACAAGAAGTCAGGAGGGGACATAGCCAGGAGAGAGAGAGGTGCCCCAGCCATGATCTGAGTTGCCCCACAGAGAGTATTCGAGACCACAAACTCACTGTGAATTGGGGAGTTTGCTGGGGACACCTCTCTCTTCCTTCAATGCAGCATCAATGACAGGGGAGAGGGCAGCCTTGGGAACTGGTGGGCTGAACCCCCCAGGGATGGCTATTATTATTATTATTATTATTATTATT